TATGCGATGTATCTGCAATGTAAAATGCTTTGTAATTCACTCATCATCCTCAAATATTTTTTCCCGTTCAACATTTTAGAAGATATTGAAAAATACTCCAGGGTACCTGATACACATTCAGTTAACATATTCTTTTAGGACTTAACAATGATATTAAAATTGCTACTAGAAAAATATATTAAAAGAAAAATTATTCCTAAAAAATTTAATAATTCAAAGGAAAAATCACAAAACAAAAATACTTTAAGGTGTTAGATGCACCAAAAAAAATTAGGGCGTAAGATAAAATATAAGATATTTTAGAATGATGAATGCACGTGAAAAAATATTTTAAAATGCTGAATCAACCTTACTCAATAATTATTAACACTTCTCTTCTATTTTATCTATATGATAGTGGACTAATCCAATTTACAGGATATGCTTAAAATATATCCCAAATTTTAATAAATTTTTTATATTTTAATCTTAATTATTTATACGTTATCTCACTATATTAATTATTGATTATTTTTATATACGCCTTTTACGTGATTTAATAAAAAAATTTAAAATTAGTTAAAAGTAATAAATATGTTAAAAAATTGAATTTTTCTCCAAGCATACCCTTATTTAATAAGGAAAAAAAGATAGAGAAATACTAATATTGAGATAAATGATAAAAGAAAATGTAATATGAGACAAAAGATGAGAGAAGAGAATAAATAATTAATTAGAGGTAAAATTGATAAAAATATATTTAATGTTTAAACAATCTTAAACAGGATCTTATTTTAAAAAAATCAAACCAATTCAAAATTTCAGATATTATAAAAAGAATCCTGAGGGAGTTTATAAATAATTAACTAGAGGTAAAATTGATAAAAATATATTTAATATTTAAACAATCCTAAACAGGATCTTATAAAAAAAATATCAAACCAATTCAAAATTTCAGATATTATAGAAAGAATCCTGAGGGAGTACCTCTTGTTGTTTCTTTGACTGCGTTTTCACAAAAAATCCTACTTCAAATATTATACTTTTTTATTGTAATCCAGAAAGTTAAAGTATTTTTAACTATAGGATACTCGGATTAATTTTTTGAAAATAATTTTATGATATACAAAATAAATATATACAAGAAAATTTTTGTCTCAACTTACGTAAACATTAGAAAGTTAATCCAAAGACCTCTAAGGAATTATTTGAGATCATGTTTAAAAGCACTTATAAACATATTTTATATAAGTTGAGACAAAATTTATACTTCATATTTGGTAAATCATGATTAACAAGCTGCTTATAAGTCCTTCCAAACAGGCTTTAAAAGACCTAGAAATGATATATTTCTATTATTTTGTCAAAATTTCTGCTTACCTTTTTTTTTCGGTTTTTCCTTTGTGTAATTTGGACAAATTTTTTTTTTTAATTACGTTGAACCAGAAACAACAATGAAGCATTTCTTATTTGGACACCGAGTTCACATCATTGACAAGAAGGGGAAAAAAAAAGGTTTGTATTTGAAGGATTTTAAAGATTTTAGACAAAAAGACTTTGATAAAAATAAATAACCAACACAATGAACATAAATTCACTTTAATGGAGTCTTTTAATTGCTTTAGAAATTTTTTTTATAAAAAAAAAGGCATTTTTGACTCTCAGACAAAAAGTGTTTGATGACCAAACATTATTTTTTGAAATTTTATGCTTACAAGAGATATCCCCCTACACAATGTGAATACTCAATATGTCAACATAAGCGAACTCGCCAAATTAACTTTTTCAAGCTAATATTTGGCTTTGGCAGTTGTTTGGTTAATTTTTTCAAATGATTTTAAGTCATATGAGATAAATATATAACAGGAATTTTGTCTAATGAAATATATAAATTTTTTAAAGTTAATTGTGCTGTTTTCCAAATAGGCACAGAGATGTTCTGGCTAAGGTATCAATATAATCACTAATCTTTTTATTTTTACTACTATAAAATATATTATTTTGTCTATTCTTGAAGTTTTCTGTCTGTTTAGGAGGAGACGTTGATAAAGAGACAGAAATTGTAGTTATATATTTCTCTGTTTTCAAATGAATAAATGTGGAGGCTCATATTTGTCTGTTCTATTTTAGAGCATATTTATCTGTTCTATTTTAGAGCAGACGAATATAAGTATATATTTTCTTAAAAAATAGCGAACATTTGCATTGCTAGTTTTTATTTAACCTGTAATTCCACGGATAAAATAAAACCAAAGCAAACTACAAAAGTGACAACAATTTGAAGCACATTTCTCTCAATACTAAGTACCTATAATATAATAAAGATAAAATTATTAAAAAAACCAACATTTTTTCAAACATATTTATATCCAATCACATTTCAAAGAAGTTATATGTGTTCAAACAACATCACATAGCTTTCTAAAATTGAAACTGAATATTAAAAATTGAGGATACTTAATTAACTACCCTATTAAGAAAACCAAATCAAAATTGAACACCATTTTGATTTTCTTTTTTATTTTATAACCAAATCAAATTTTTTAAATGCATAAAATTTACAAAAAAAATAATAATTTATAAGTCCTTATAATTTTATTCAATTTTTAATTTGGTCCCTAAAATTGTTTTTCTTTCAATCAATTGTTTCAAATTACTCTTCCGGTCTTTAATATAAGACCTATTTAACTAATTTTCTTAGATTAAAGAAATTAGGTAAGTTAGTTAATTATAAGAAATATGATATGTTTTTCCTAAAATACCATAATCATCTTCCTTAACATCCTCTTTTTTTTTCCTCTTATTTGATTATGGTTAAAGAAGATCTGTGGGAGTAATTTAGAAAAAATTGATAAATATGGTAAATAAATCTTATATTTAGGATCAAAATTAATTTAACAATTAAATTCTATATTAAGAACCGAGAAGTATTTTAGTTACATGCCTCACTCCTTCTCCTTCAACTTGAGAAAAAATTTGCCAAGGACGAACAGGTTCCTGAGGGAAAAGGTGGATGATAAAACAAAAGAAAATGTGAGTTGAAAATTATAGAGTTACAAATTAATTTTCTCTCAAATTTATTGTATGTAAGGTTTTGACATAAATGAAAGGGAAAAAAATGATGAATGCAAATAAGAAATGTTATAAATCACATGCGAGCATTTAATATTTCAATTATTTTAAAAATCGCAACATGATCCTTTTTTTTTTTTATGAGATCATTATTATTTTATTTTTATTCTTGCACTTTCAGGATTTCAACTACTTCTCTGTATTAACAAAAGTTACTGTATAAAATATTTCCTTGTAAATGAAAGGGAAAAAAAGGAACGCAGACAAGCCTGTAAATCACATAGATAACTTCACTCTTATGTCAGTAATTTACTAATTTTATTACTGATTCTCAATTATTATTAATTATTCTCTCTGGTTTTAAATATAGAAGATATATAATTAATTTGCATAAATAAAAAATTAGTTACATTAGTTTTTTTTTTTAAAAAAAATGGATATAGCAAAATACTACTTTCAATTGTTTCTTTACCATGGATACAAAAATTATAAATTTAGAAAAAAATCTATGGCTTAGAGTAACTTTTCAGAACAAGTTTTGAAACAAAATTAAGAAAATGTGTTTAAATCATTATTCCGAAAAAAACTATCTAAAACTGTGCAATGAAATTTAGGGAACTTATATAAAATTTAGGAAAAATTACAATAAGGTTCATTCCAAAAGAATTAAATACAAAAAGATTTCTTAAAATCATCAAATTATCAAATTTTTAATTTAAATAATTAATCTAAAATCATGCTTTTTGTTTTAAGCCCAGTGCGTCTTCCATGCGCTCGTTGCTCTTGATGTTTAGATTGGGAAAATAACGTATGTGGGCCATTCTGAAGAGTAGGAAATGACCACGACAACATTAAAGCTGGGACAGACTTTTTGAGATATCTCACGCGCAAACGAAGCAACTTTGAAATTTCGCTGTTGAAATCTTCTCTATGTACTTTTTAAACAAAAATAAAATCAGAAAAGAAGTTCATAATGAAGTACTTTCTGGCTTCGTTGAAATCTTCTCTATGTACTTAATCTTTTCTTTAATTTTGTAGATTAAGAACTAACAAAACATTAAAAATATGTCACAATTTTTCTATTTTCCACAATAAATCTTCATTTTGTTTAAAGATTTATTATCTCGGTTGGGGCTTTGATTGGAAAACATATCGTAAAAGGAATAGGCAAAGAAGCATGTAATTGGGCAATCATTTTTGTGGGAAGAGGAATGTCTCTACTAATCCTTCTCTCCACCTTTTCTCTACTTAATTTTTTCATCATTAGATCAAATTTTAATAGTTAAGATTTATTTTATAAAGATATTATTAAAATATTAAATAATAAAAAATATATAAACAAATTTGTACCATTAAGTGTTAAAATTTGATATAAGTAGTTTAATATGATAAATTTTTATTATATTAATATTATAATATTTTTACTTAATTTTAAATCTCAATCATTGGAAGTTAATCCAATGATTAAAAAATTAAGAGAAAACAGAAATTAATAGAGACATTATTCTCTCCATTTTGGTGGGGCATGTGATTTATGACATGACCAAAAGACAATAAAGGCTTGAGATTCTGTCAACATTTCTACATACTTTAAATAAAAAAAATCTCAAAACTGTTGACTTGGAGTCAAAAAGGGCTACTGACACAAGTTTTCATTATTTCGCGGAAATTTCCACCGGGAGCTGAGTTGGCCCTTGCCTCTTAAATGCAAACGATGGCTCAATGCTCACATACTCATTTTTCTGTTCTGCCGATCGAATTCCCAAGACAAGTGAACTAACCAAATTAATCGACTTCAAACCTTTCCAAGGTAAGATTTTATTTTAGAGTTTAGACGCACTCACCAAGGGATTAATCAGTATGATTTTTCTTCCTTAGGCGCTATTCTGTTTGTTCTTTATTAGAAATAATAAACAACTCACGAAACTTTGCTTTTTATCCTTCCAGCAATGGCATCTTCTGCTTCTTCTTCCCAAGTTCCTTGTGGCAAACATGATGTTTTTATCAGCTTTAGAGGACCAGACATCAGATCTGATTTTCTCAGCCATTTGAAAAGGGCATTGCGTCAAAAGAACGTAGATGTCTATGTTGATGATAGGCTCGAGAGAGGAGAAGAAATATGGTCAGTACTTGTGAATGCAATAGAAGGATCCATGATTGCTTTGGTTATATTCTCCGACAATTATGCTTCTTCAGAGTGGTGCTTGGAAGAGCTAGTGAAAATCGTGGAATGTAAAAAAGCTAATCAACAGATTGTGATACCAATATTTTACCGTGTGGATCCATCACATGTCAGGCATCAAACACACACTTATGCAGAAGCATTTACTCATCATGAGCAAAGGTTCCCGGACAACATGGACAATTTGGAAAATTGGAGATCTGTTTTGAAAGAAACTGCTCACTTATCCGGTTATCATTCATCAAATTTTCAGTAAGTTTTTTGTCATTTAATACATCATCTTATAGAGTCTTAATTTTTTAAGCTTTTTCTTAGTTTGCCCCCAAAAAATAACTTGAAATACAATGAAGTTATGTCTAATTATGTCTGTGGACTTATTTTTATAATGAGTACCTATAATAATTTTATTTGTTTTTTACATGCTAGAGATGAATCTGAACTCATCAATGCAATAGTTGAAGATGTCTTTAAAAAATTAGAAGTTAACACTCAAATTGTGCCAAGATCTCAGCTCATTGGATTTCATCAAAATTTCACTAATGTTGAATCATTAATGAAAATTGAGTCACCAGAAGTTCGAGTTCTCGGAATTTGGGGCCCAGGAGGGATAGGCAAAACAACCCTTGCTTCTGCTATATTTGACAACTTCTTGTCTAAATTTGAAAGTCACTGTTTCTTAGAAAATGTGAGAGAAGAATCAACAAAGATTGGGTTAAGCTCTTTGCGTCAAAAACTTCTTTCCAAGCTATTAGATCAAAAAGATTACATAAATATGAATCACACAATGAGAAGGTTGAAACAAAAAAAAGTGCTAATTGTAATTGATGATGTAGACAATCCAAAGCAACTAAAAGATTTGGCTGGACAACAACTTCACTTGGGACAGGGAAGCAGAGTCATTGTAACAAGTAGAGACAAGCATGTTCTTAGAAGTGGAGGGATTCATGAAAAATATATACATGAAGTCAGAGAATTGAGTAGAAAAGAATCACTTGAACTTTTCAGTATGCATGCCTTCAATCAAAATCATCCTATTCAAGGATATGAAGAGCTATCAAATTTGACAGCTGCCTTGGTTGGAGGCATTCCTTTAGCTTTAGAAGTTCTGGGTTCCCATTTTCATTCTAGGGATGAAGCATATTGGAAAAGTGAGCTTAGCAAACTCCAAAAGTATCCCCATCAGGATATTCAAAATATATTGAAGGTGAGTTATGATGGGTTAGATAATATGGACAAGCAAATATTATTAGACATTGCATTCTTTTTCGTGGGAGAACAAAAAGGTGAAGTTATTCCTCAACTAGAGGCTTGTGGTTTCAGAGCAGTTAGTGGAATACAAAATCTTATAGATAAAGCTCTCGTGAAGTTAGGTGAGGTTGACCATATTATAATGCATGATTTGATACGAGGAATGGCTGAGCAAATAGTTCGTGAGGAATGTATGAAACATCCTGAATTCCGTAGTCGATTAAATGATGCAGATGAAATATGTGATGTGTTAAAAAATAACAAGGTAAGGGAAAGATACTTCCATTTATTGCTTCTATTTTTTATTTTTTTTATATTTTTTCTAAAAGGCTTAATGTTTATTTTATTTTATTTTATTTTTTGTTTAGGAAACCAATGAAATTGAAGGCATTTCACTGGATGTGTCTCGAATCAAATATTTACATCTAGGAGCAAACGCCTTCTCGAAGATGAAAAAATTGAGAATCCTCAAAGTTTTTAACACGCAATGGTCTACAACCACGACATGTATAGAGCTTCCTTTTGGTCTTGACTCTTTTCCTAATAAATTAAGGATTTTTCATTGGGATTGTTATCCATTGGAGTCTTTGCCATTGGACTTTTGTCCTGAAAACCTTGTTGAACTACGAATAAATCGAAGTAATGTTACAAAGCTTTGGGATGGAGTGCAGGTACTTATATATATACTAATCTAAATTTTATATAGGTTCAGTCAAATTTAATCTATTAGGGCCTTTGGGGTAATTTTTTTTTCGTTTTCATTGTAAATACAGGATCTTGTGAATCTAAGGACGATAAATTTGTGTCTATGCCACAAATTGATGGAATTGCCTGATTTTTCTATGGCACATAAGCTTGAAAACGTAGATCTCTGTGATTGTTCAAGTTTGAGGAGTGTTCATCCATCCATTTTATCTCTCCACACTCTTGTTAAATTGGATGTAGATCATTGCCATGAATTAGAGAGTCTTGAAAGTGAGACTCATTTAGAATCCCTCTCCGATCTCCAAGCTAGCGGATGTGGCCTCAAGAAATTTTGTTTGTCATCAAATAAATTGGAAACCATATATCTTCGAGAAACTAGACTTGAAATATTGGATTTGCCAATCGGACGTTTCACAAAGCTTAGAAGTCTTTTAATTCTTCACGGTGAAAGATTGAGGAGTCTTCCAATAAAGGAGCTGTGTTGCTTGACAAATCTTACGGAGTTTCAGGTTCTTGAATTCAAGCAGGAAATTCACACAGAGGAGCTGCGCTCCCTTTTTTATGCTTGGCGTAATTTAGAAATACTATGTTTGGACGGATGGAGTTACTTGTCGGAAATCCCTGGCAATATCAAGTGCTTAACAAGGTTACAAAATTTATCATTGCAACGTAGTGGTGTAGAGACATTGCCACCTTGCGTCAGCCATCTTTCAAGCTTGACAGGCATTTACCTATTTGGCTGCAAAAGGCTTAAGTCGATACTTGGACTTCCTCCCATGCTTAAAGCATTAGATGCCAATGATTGCACTTTATTGGAGACTGTATCCTCTGACTCTCTAGTTTTCAGTCCGTGTTGGTTTCAATTCAAAAACTGTGTAAAGTTGGATGAGTGTTCGCTTGGCTTTATTGAGGAATCAACTCATTTCTCACTGACTTCAGCTTGTGGGACTGCATTTAATTACCTTGATTTAGCTCGTTACCCAGGAAACAGAGTTCCAAAGTGGATGAAATATAAACAAATGACAGAGGCTTCCAATACTATCCAATTCATGACAGAGGCTTCCAATACTATCCAATTCACTTGCAATCTTGAACGAGCAATTGGCATATTGTTTTGTTGTGTTGCTCCTCATCGTCATCTCAGATCACTGGGACAGCGCCCTCTCGTCACCTGTTATATCACTTGTGATGATATTGTGACCAAGTCCTCACCTTATAATAATCAACGTCTTTATGAATTGGATTCAGACCATGTATTTATATGGCCCAGGAAGGGGTTCCCATTTGGTACTAGAACAGGTGATGATGTTAAGATTTCATGTGAATTCTTTCTGGAATGGCGGGATCATGGAAAGATGTATTGCAACCACAAAGTCCCTCTTGAAGCATGTGGAGTACACGTAATATATGACTCGGAGTCAGAGCCTGGGTCGGGTCAAAAAAGAAAGAGGGTTGCTGATATAGGTGTTGAAGATGGAGTCCCTCCCACAAAGCGGCTCAACAATTCTTGGATCTCTCAACCTGCTCCCCTGGGACTGGCATTGCAGTTGGGGTTGGCTACTACTAAATCCAACAAATCTCATGATAACTTCATCTGTCACCCACTGCAACTCAAATTTATGCGCAAGAAGAAACAAGAGGACCCTTTGCAGCTCAAGTTAAATATAAATTCTGACAGGTATAGTTTAATGCTGGTGAACATTTATTAGTAGGATTTAAGGACATTTGCTGAAGGAAAATTCTCAATCAACATATACACCTATCATCTACATAAAGATCCTGATTTTCTCTTCTCTAGATCAAAACTGGTTAAATTAGATGAATATCCCTCATAAAATAAAGATTAAGAATGACATAAAATATAGAGTTAAGGTGTAATTTTAATAAAAAAATTTACATTAAGAGGTATTGGGCACCATAAAATTTATTTTTGTGCAAAAATATATATGAAGTTGTTAAAATGGGACATTTGACATTATGCCATTAACGTCCATTAGTTTACCATTAGAGGGCTTCATGAAGTCAGTTTTAAGTTATATTTTTAACAACGAAATTTATATCAAGGGGCACTAAGCAACATGAAATTTATTTGGGCTTAAAAATATACATAAACTTTCTGAAAAGGGAGAAAATAACAAAATTTTTCAACTCTCAAAAACATCAGTTAACTTTATTCTTTTAGATCCTATGAAATATCACATTTTCTCTTTATTTATTCTTACTTCCTCTTCTCCTTAGTATAATGAACTAATTTGGAAAAAAAAATTGAAGTAAAACAATTACTTAAAAATAGCATATGGTATATGATCTCTCAAAAATATTTATATATATTATTAGATTATATATTAGTTTATAAGCCAAACCAATTAAATTGGAAAAATGATAAATATAACACTTTAAAATAATTTATTTAATTTTTTTTAATCTCCTCAAATTAGTCTATTACGTCCTATATCAATTCCTTGCTTTGATTGAGAGAAAATTGGGGAGACAAGAAAACTAGAAAGAAAAACATGGAGAGAAATAAGTTTTCCCTTGCTTGGATAGGGAAGAAAATATGGGAAGAAGGAAAAGTGAAAGAGAAAATAAGATGGGTCCCATGCCTTATTTTCTCTCCATATATGGAGAGATTTGGAATGGGAAACAAGATTTTCAAGATTATCCCTCCTCTCTCTTCCTCTCTATATTTATCTTCTTTTATTATATTTAAAACAATGTTTTTATTAAATAATTTGGTTTTAAAACATAATAATATGAAAAAATCTATAAATCAAATAACTTGATTTTAAATTATTTGATAATGCTAATGTCAGTATAATTTTTATATTACAATATTTAGTTTAATTTAATTTAATTTTAAATATGATATATTTTGATAAGGATATTTTAGTCATTTAGATATTTACTAATTTTCTCTCTTCTTTATTTTCTCTCATCCATCCAAGCAAGAAGGATGATGACAACTTTCCTTTAGTTTTTTCTTCTCTCTATTTTCTCTCCTCTCATTTTCTTTCTTCTCAACTTTTCTTTCTATCTAACCAGAGCATAAGGACAAGAGGTAGTACTTGGATGCAAGCAATGAACCTCATATCTTAGAAGGGAAAGACATCGTTTTGTGTAAATACCTATAAAAGGCTTGGAGGCTGAGAAAATGACATAACAGAGAGAGTGTGTGCTAACTATGATGAGAGAAAGATGGATCAACTTGGAAATAAAAATTGATGAAGAGAAAATATGACATTTGATAAGACCAAAAAGAATTAAAATTAATAGACGTTTATCGGAGTTGAATAATTTTGTTGTTTTTCTCATTTTAGAAAGTTTATATATATTTTTACACCTAAGTAAACTTTATGGTGCCCAATATCCCTTGATATTAACTTTGTTGTTAAAAATGAAATTTAAAATTGACTTTATGAGCCCGTCTAATGGTAAACTAACGGATGTTAATGGTTTAGTGTTCGTGTTAAATGTCCTCTTTTGACAACTTCATGTGTATCAATTCTACATCCAAGTAAACTTTATGGTATCCAGTGTTCTTTAGGATAAACTTTGTTATTAAAATTGCATTTTAATCCTAAAATATCACAGTTTCGATAAGAAACATTACTAGATCCAGATATCAAAAATGAGTTTTGCGAGAGTAATGTTTAAATTATGTTGATTCATGATCATCATGCTACCCTATTATGAAGCATCTCCTTGTAGACAACTTTGGAACTTTTATTTGTCAGATTTCCAACCTAATCTAAGATTAATATATTTAAGCCTTTTTCCCGGCGATGTGTTCGCTTTCCATTCTTGTGATGCCAGCTCTCAAACCCGTGTAATTTTCATTTTTTTAATAAATTGTATTATTTATATTGTGGCTTGCCATTCATTTTATTTTCATTTTGATGCTTTTTAAAGATGAATTAATTCAAAACATGCCATATAGAGCAAAAATATTTGTTATTTTAATAATATTTAGAGTGTTTTTAACTATGGATCTGAGCTTAAAAAAAAGTTTAGGAATTATTGTCAGTAATATATTGTTTTGCCCTTTGACACACTCAATATTTGCGTCATTACCCCAACAAATGTGGCTAAGTTATAATTAAAAGATTGAAAATGTTCTGTTTTTGAAGTTCCTTCGCATGATAAATGTTCACTTTTTATTACTCCTCACTTAAACGGCCAACATAGCCCCTTGTGATGCCTGCTTCCAGACTGTGTAATTTTCAATTTTTTCAATAAATTACATTATTTATATCTTGTTTTGCTATTCATTTTAATTTTATATTGATGTACGAAAATAATAATTAATTTATTCAATATTACGTATTTTACTAATATTTAGAGTTTTTTCCAATCATAGATTTATGCTTAAAATGTTTAGGAATTATTGTCGCTAAGCAAAACAATGTTTCAAACCTTGACAGACTTAATGCTTGGGGGGGGGGGCGGAGCTTGGGAGGCTCTCTGCATTAATGAAGAAGTTAGAGAAGGAACTCAAGAACAGTAATAAATATGATGCATAGGCTCTTCATAGTTTTGTTTTTGTTGAGTTTTTTGTTTGTGGTGCAAGAAGATTATTGGATTTGAAGCTTTGGATTTTGGGTCTGATTGGGGGTGCTCGTCTTAGTATGGCACAGGATTGAGAATTCATGAATGAACTGCTGAAATTTATCATTTTGGTTATTTGTCATATTTTTGATATTCTGTTTTGTAAATTGTTTATTTTGTGATGCATGGTAGCTCCGAACTTTGAAGGAAGGACTGGGAAAATTGGTGATTTTAAGCTTGTGATTCACATACTTTCTTTCAATATGTGTTATTGAATTCAGGTAAAAAATATGTGCTATTGAATACGGCTTACTGTTTTGAGTTTTGACGATATAAAATTTATTTCTTTGCAATTTCAGTCATATCCAAACAGTTGTTTTTGCCATAAAAACAATCATAATATGCAATTGCAGCTTGAGTCATCTGCGAAACATATCTTGGGTCTGTTCATATTTTGGCTTCTCCTCAATCATTTATTTCTTTCATTTTTCTTTGTAAGAAATCATACGAATTTAATCCTGATTAACGAACGGTCCTTTTTCCTGATGCCCCAGCAGATACATTATAAGCTTTTAGAGGAGAATTCGAAAGTTGTTCAAGACTTCAATGAAGAGCCTATTAGACTACTTTTGTTCTTAGTCAGTACTTGTCAAACAAACATAGATGCTGATGCCTTAGCTTTTAGTCGTTAGTTTAAAAATTTTGATCTCAAGGTGGAGATTTTTACTGGTTCTTTTTTGTTGGAGTGAATTTCAATTCTAGGCGGTTGATTGTTTGGATTCAACCTTTCTTTATGTTATGCAACGAGTCTTTATATTTGAGTGGAGAAATTGAAATAAAGCTGCTGAAAAAGTGATTATTAAATAGTGTGTATTTTTTTTTTGAAATCGAGTGTTACTAATGGGCCACAATTTATTGCTACAGCAAGGCTAAATTGTCAAACACACATATGCATATCCACTTAATTTTTTTGTTTAAACATATCGACTTAATTGAATCACACTTCGTACCATGATTATCATTTACTTGCCGGTGTAAATGAATTGCATGCTTGCGTGACATGAGCCGAGGTTTTGTCTTCTGCTAAACTGTATTGCTTTTTTCCATAATGTGTGAGAATACCTTTGTGCTTATTCTTTCCAATGCGTGTGAAGTTGCACACTGTTGTATGTGAGTTCAATAGATGTACAAGTCATCTTTTCCTTTAAATGATTCTTTTTGCATATTATCAATTGAATCAGAATTCTATTGAGCTAAGACTGATGGCCTCATTTAACAGTAGAATTGTGCCTTTTGTTTTGCAGCTTTGACAAGCACAAAAGATGAGTACAGTGGATGCAACCAGAGCAGAACTTGGTCTTCTGGTTTTATACTTGAACAAGGCTGAAGCCAGGGACAAAATCTGCAGGGCAATACAGCATGGTTCAAAATTTCCTAGTGATGGGCAACCTGGTACTGCCCAGAATGTCGACAGATCAGCCACTTTGGCTCGCAAAGTTTTTCGTCTATTCAGGGTTAGATTATCCATTTTAATCTTGAACAATTATGCTATTCATATATTCACTGTTTTTGTTTTCCTTTGGATAATTTACTCCTTGTAATTTATATAAATGGATTAAGGCTGCGTTTGGATGCACCTCCAAACCATGGTTTGGAAGCCCAAACCATGGTTTGGATAAAATGCTATCCAAACACCCTGTCCAGAAGCCCAAACCGTGGTCCAGCTGAAACCATGGTTCTACGAAAATAAAAAAAAAGTCACTTCTGGGAACCATTCGGGAAGGGGGCAACGGTCATACCAATAATACCCACACACAGTCATCCTTCTCTCGCTGGCCGACTCCGATTTCTCTGATAATTGGGAACCATTCGCGAATCTCACCCAGCTCGACTCTTCGGCCGGCTCATCCATCGGGTCGCCTGTTCACCGGCTCGCGTCTTCGCCTTCTCGTCACCATCAGCTCGCTTCTTCGCCGTCGGTGCTCTGAGTTTCTTCACCGGTGAGATCATCTTGGGCTGGTGAAAACAGGGGCTGGTTGTGTGTTTCTCGGCGCGCCAAAACCAGATCAAGCGTTGGGTTGTCCGATCCGTCCATCCTCCATTTCGAAAGCTTCGTTCTTCAGCTCGCCCGGTCAGGTCGCTGGTTAGCTCGAATCTGGTTAGC